ATAGTTGCGTCTCATATCCTGACAAACCATACATCAATGGAAAGCTTATTTATTCAGCTTTCAGATGATGTATAAATCTCAATTTTTAAAAAATTGACCCATATGACTGGTTTTGTGGTCCTGGGTCACAAATCAGTATTAAATTATTATATAATTTTTTTTTATTATAAATGTTTATTATATGTGTTAATGTTTATTATACATGCACCTAATCAGCATATTACAAGGATTTCTGAAGGATCACAAGACTCTGGATTAATGAAGCTAAAAATTCAGCTTTGCCATCATAAGAATACATTACATTATATATTCAAATAGAAAACAGCTATTTTAAATTGTGTTAACTTAAGAGAACTGTAGCGCTCCAAACTGGAAAAAAGAAATCCTTTTACTGCAGGTGCGTAGAGCCAATGGGAAACTTGAAAATGAACAAGAAGGTGGCTAGCCGCACACTGAATCCAGTTCAGACTGGAAAAGTCTACTAAAACAAACTTATTTTATAAATTGCATTGTGTAAAAAGTGCATGCAAGTTAAAAACGAATGGACATGAACAAGCAGACCTTTCAGCGCATTGCCTTTTTTTTTTTACTCACATGCGCTCTGCACTTTTTGCACGATGCAATTTATCAAATTTTAAAAAAATGTTTTTGTAGACTTTTCCAGTCTGTATTGGATTCAGTTTGCGGCTAGCCACCTTCTTGTTCAGTTTATATTCAGATTAATTTTGCATTAAGTATAATAATGCATTTCTTTATTTTTTGAAAGCTCTGCAGTGAGTAAAATATTTTCTCTAACCTTTGTTCGGTGTTAAAGAGAGCAAACACGTGCTTGCTGGACATGAAACTCTTCTCTATATCTCTGAGCTTAAGGTTGTCCAATGGCAGCATGTACTTCTTCTCTTTCTCCTGCAGAGGGCAATGAGCACAATTAAAAAGTTAATAAAACAAAGCAAAAGAGAACACTACAAGATCAGGGACTGCCTACTGAAGAGTTGTAGTTGCTGAACCTGTATTTCCTTTAACTATATGGCAAAAGCAGACTACAATACTTAAACTGCTAGCTTAGCACTCTTTTATGAGCGCATAAATCTGTATGAATATGTTTAGAAATTCAGAGGAATTAAACTACAGTTAGTGCTTACATGTCGGTCCCATCAGCTATAACACTAAAGGGTTAACAAGTACTTGTGATGGGAGTATTGATTCCACACTGGAAGCCTGCAATGGCACACTAAGTATCATGATTTATGACTCGCACACTTAATCAGCAACACACCAGCTGGAGATGGAAATCCTGTATAAATTGAATTAAACTGCTCTTAAAGATTAAAGTATGTGTTTTTCTCAGAAACCTAAAGGGGACAGAAAAAGGTTGATTTGTCATTCTGATTGATGCTTATCCCTTTTGAATACAAAAGTGAGAGCAGAGAGATGACACAATGAAGCGTGTAGGAGGAGGAGAGGGAGTGAAGATGAAAACACTTGCATGTTAACAGTGTGAAGCATCCACATATTAGAAGAGTAGCCTAACCTACTTACAAACCACCAGAGGAATGCATTTCAGCATCAACACAAAATGATCTGTATATCAGCTATACTTAACAACACTTGATGTCAGTACTCTATTTTAAAGATATGATATAAATATAAAAAAGTAGCAACAATATTCACATTTATATCAGTTATTGTTGTGACAAATAAAACCGTGTGTGGCCTCTTTAATTAACATTTATTTCAGTTTAAGGACTCAAAGTCTCAATGTGGTGTAAAGACATGAAATATAAATGTAAAGAATATTTTTCACGGATAGTCCAACTTATAGCTATACAGTAGCTGCTGTAAAATATAGTGTAGCTTTCATAAATGAGATCCATTTGGCAATGAGTAATGACCTAATGACGTAGTGCAACAAGTGCTACATTACTGTTTTTTTAAACTCACGTGTGAAAGGGTTAATATATTTTATATATATTTGCATCTGAAAGACCTAAGGTAATAATCAAACATGTAAAAAGACAGTAAGTGTAGTGAATTGCTTTGTTCAATCAGATAATCAGTAATCAGATTTTTTTTATTGTTCCTTTAAATAGCTTTGTTGTAATTGTAGAATCTTATCTTATCACTTTCTTTAAAAAGGGAACCTGTACTATAGTTTAACTACTTTCAATTATTAGTATCTTGTAGCATAAGGATTTAGTTTCATCTCATCCCATTCCTCATCTCTGTTTTCTTCATGCAGTCTTCTCTCAGCTGTACTGAGACAGCTCAGGACTGTCCCCCCAAAAAAACAAACAAACATAAAAAATCAAAAGAAGACATAGTCATTCATAGTCTATGGTTCAATAATTTACCCTGAGATTTATGATAATTTTCCTCCACTGCACCATATCCAGAAATAACAGACTTTAGAAAGACTCCCAAGTCTGGGGAAACAAAAATGTTGAATCATAAAATCACAGAGGTGTATGTATGTATGTATGTAAATGCCTGTGTATGTAAAATTCAGGAACAGAGCTTATGTATTTGCTTTTTTAGTCTATGATCATTACACATGTTTGGCACATGGGCACCAAACTTTAAATTATAAAGATGACTGTACCAAGGCTATGATTAATTTAAAGAGTAAACATATTTTATTTGTATTATCATTAATATTATGAATCAAAATAAATCAGTTTGACAGTTATTTTCTTCAGCTGTGAAAAGATGTACATTTCAATTGGAACCTCTTGTTTTTTTGATCAAAAATATAAATACTACAAACACTTATAAACATGTCACTCATATATAAGGTAAGATATTAACTCTGGTATTTCTGCTGTAATTATGACAAAGCCGCTGGTATTTCCAATGTTCTTATGAACTGGGAGTGTTAATATATTAATTAACCACAAATTATTTTGTGATTCTATAAATTTCAAAAACTGTATGTTTTCAAGTATGTAAAAGTATGTAAAAAAGTTTAAATATTTCTCATATTGCATTTTAAGATGGAATATTTTAATATATTAATAATTATTTTAATATATAACACTTTTAAAAAAGGTACTATTAGTTAATGCTAGTTAATGGATAAAGTAATATTAACTAACAAAGAGCAAAACTAATAATTTGTTACATTATCTGAGAATCTTTGTTTACATTAGTTAGTAAAAGTACAAGTTAGTACAAGTTTAGTACAAGTACAACTGTTCATTGTTAGTTCAAATTAGCTCAGGTCCATTAATATCAACAGATATAACTTTTGATTTTATTAACGTGTTAGTAAATGTTGCAATTAACATTAATTAAGATTATTAATTAGTAGTTCATGTTAGCTGATGTTAGCTTATTGTAAAGTATTACTCCATTTTATTAATAATAATATATAAATCAGAATTTCATCTTGCGGCCCCAAGTTTGTGAGTCCCGGCACCTTGGTTGAGAACAAATGATTTAAATTAATATCCATTTTTATTCTGTACTGTACATTACAATGTTTTGACACCTTAATGCACTTCCAATAATTTCCAGAATTTAATATATTCCAAAAAAATACCAACTTTAAATGGTCAAAACCGAAGAATGTACGAATGTAATCTACAAATAGCCTTCTATTGTAACTGCACTGCTGTAAACACATTTTTGCTTGTTTTTACAAACTAATGAACGAGTCTAAATGATTGTCTGTGGTAATCGCCAGCAAGCCAAATATGCTGTCGATAGAGCTGACCTTATCTTGAACCCAGAACATTCCTTTAACAACCTCAGAAATTCAGATCGATTTTCAAACACAAGGCTTCAGAACCGCTGACAGAGCAGACGGTGTTGTCTTGTGACAATAAACGTTCCATCTAAACTGCCAGTTTCAGAGATTAATGTCCACAAAAACCAATGTAAGGGGAGCCCCCGACCCCAAGGACGGATCAAACGGCGTGAGGATGATTAATGCCTCTTGTTTATAGGTCACCACCATGTCACCATCTCCACATTTAATAAGAACCCTCCTGCATTTCAGAGGAACATTCTGTGGTGAGCCTAAACTTCAGCCCTAACTTCCGAAGCACCTCGTCTACAGGAGTGTTTTAAAACACCAAAATGCATGTGTGTAATCGTTAGGGGGGTTGTAAGCCAGTATAAAGAGCCCTTTATCCAGTACGAGCAGAGGAAGTGAGCTTCAGAATAAATATCAGCATGAAGAGAGGTACAGACCACAGGACTACACATCTGGAGATATTACAATTCCATCTCCATGCCAAGAAACTCAGTCAGCAACACCACCCACACCTTCACACACACACACACACACACACACACACATAAACACACACAGATGTCAGAAATACAACTCAAAGCAAATGTTGAGTCTGACAGGTCTTCATCAGTACCAGCTTTCCTCATCTTACTCTTTTGTGACCTCTGTGACCTTTCACTTCCTGTTTAACAAGAAGAGAAACATAAAATTAAGGCGGGGGGAAAACGGAAAAAAAGCTCCACCTCTTTCTCTCCCTCCTTTCAGCTCTTCCCGGAGTCAAAAGTCTGCCACGTCAATTCTGAAAAATCCACATTTGAAAGTACGAAAGACGCTGTGTTTTACAAACGAATTTTTGCGATGCAAATGCTGCATATCTTATCATTTTGTATATCTGTTTTCAAAGACTCTGCTCTTAATCTAAGATGGATTTTATGAGTCGACGGGGGTGAAAGGGCCAGGAAACCCAATGCTTCTTGCCACCCACATTCTTCGCCTTCTCGTACCACCATCAAACACTCAGAGGTTTTAAAAGGCCCTCCTCTCGTCCTCCTCCCCCACTCACCTACCACTCTTTTGGCATCTCACACACTCGGACGTCCAGAGAAAAAGAGAGACAGAAGGAGAAAAGGAAGGATGAAGGTTTTCGGAGGACAATCAGAACATCTAATGCCAAATCTGATTGGCACAGATGCACGAACTTTGAGGTATTTCTTGTCCCTTTGAAGTATTTATCGTTTGCGTATGGTAGAAACAGATCTGAAAGTCTGAAGTTAAGGAGGGACAATGGGCTAGATAGATATTATCACACATCTAAGCAAACTGAAATGGATATATGAACTAAAATATATCAATAATAGATGTTTTATTACCGCAACAGCATTTGAGAGGGAATTCGAAATCAATGGTCAATTATAAACATTAACTTTCTCATCTCCTATTTTCCACGCTCACTTCCAAAAAAACATTTGGATAACGGAACATTTGCTTGTGTGAAAGGGTGTGGTGATACTCACAAAAAGTTATGTTCATTAACATGTACATTGTGTACGTTATGATGTTTAATGTTTTGTACACATTCATTCCTTAGTGCTGTTGGACTCATCTCATCTCCCCGTGAAGCGTCATGCCCGCCCCGCTTTCCCAGTGTTCAGACTACCTGTTCAGGGCGTAGAGATTGTACAGTAGTCTGCACATTGGTTAGGCTGTGTGGGGGGTGCACACACATCAACTAGTTGTGTTCATCAACAGTCTCGTCATCATGTCTCTGTACGTCTTCCCATGGAAATGTGCATGCCTTCATGTGCTAAGTAATGTCATGAGGTTAGAAACCTCCTCTGCAGAAAAATCAATTAAGTTATGCAAATAATTAAGTTAAACAAATAATGATTATCTGTTTATTCATGTTTATTTTTTGTTTTTTACTATATTTTTTTTAATTCTATAATTCTAAAAAAAACTCTCACTCTGTTTTCATGTTTTTATTTAAAAAATGCATATATATATATATATACACATATATCTATCTATCTATCTATATAGTACATGTGTGTTTTTCATTCTAAATAATAAAATTCTATAATTCTAAAAAAAACTCTCACTCTGTTTTCATGTTTTTATTTAAAAAATGCATATATATATATATATATATACACATATATCTATCTATCTATCTATATAGTACATGTGTGTTTTTCATTCTAAATAATAAGAGTAATAAATACTTTATTACTCTTCTATGGACATCTAATGTTTTTTTATAATGATAATTGATACATATGTATATATAGCATTATATATAAAACAACAGATGTCTATAGAAGAGTAAACGTAGAAAGAAAGAAAGAAAGAAAGAAAGAAAGAAAGATTTTACTTAATGGAAAGTGAAATGATGATTTGATGGAAAATAAAAGTCTTTTCTCTGTATATAATTGTCATTGTTTGGACTCTTTTTCATCCACTTGGACCACAAGGAAATTGTTTTGGCATAAGCAGGACATAACTGTGGTTTTTAAAAATGAGGAGATTAAATGAAAAACAATTATATACAAAATGGATATTTTTTTCTAAACAGTAAGTCATTTTGGACCAGGAACTCCTTTGTTTTAAAAGGACTTTCTCTGCATGCTTAAACTAACTAGAGTGAGGGCTTTTGGGAAGTGTTGGACCAAAATCTGGTATGTATGGTAATGAAAACCATATGCCACCTTCCCAACCCCCAGAGCAGCCCTCCCACCAGCCCCTGGTCTGCTTCTCCTCATGCCTCCGGTCTGGACTGACAGTGGGGGTAGGGCGGGGGTCACGACGGTACCGTAACACCTGTGCTTGATCAGACCGCCAAGACGTCAAAATGCCTGGCCATTACGGAAATAAGAAACAGAACCAATGCACTCATTTATACTGTATGACCTCATCCGTCTCAATTCTCTTTTCTTGGATCCAGTGTTGCGGTGCATTTACAGCATGGGTTACTGGTAGGATAAGATGCTTTCATTGTGAAATAGACTAAATATAGCCTTACTTCTGGTGGAAATAATACTAAAATACAGAGCCCAGAGTATATGAGAAAAAAAAAACAAGGCTGCTCCAGGGTGACCGGCCCCGTAGAGATTATACTGTGAGTTGCTTCAGATAAATGAAAAGCAACCAAGAAGAAATGGAGGGCACTCACCTCATCATCTTTGTACCAGGACAGATTCTCAGCGGTCAGGACAAACCAGTATTCCTTGGCTCCTCCTTTCATGATGCCAATATTATTGATGGTCAGCCAACCCTTTCTGATCACCTAGACAAAGGCAAACAAATGGGATGTAGAGGATAATGTACTGTTAGACTTTGTTATACTTATCAAATATATGAATAAATGGACAAGAAATCAACAATGAAGAGGAACTTGCACTGCTATGTAGGAAATAATTTGGGACAATGACCAATTATGCAGTTTAATGATCATTATACAAAAATATCTGAACGTAGAATGCTGTGATTGACCAATCAGAATCAAGTGTTCCAGAACCCAATGTATTGTAATAAATTTGAAAACAATGTGTATGCGATTGTGGGATTTCACAGAAGAACAAATTAAAAGATCATTGCAAATACAGTGGGGTCCAAAAGCCTGCAACCATTAGTCAAAAACCTATGCAGTTAAAAAAAAATTGGGGAAGAGTAAGATTTTTTAAATATTTATTCAGAATTGATCTCAGTCAAAATGATGTCAAACAAATACTGTTCTTTTCAAGCAATCATGAAAATGTATCATGGTTTCCACAAAATAAATATAGTAAAACAGAAAACAGTTATTTTAAATTGTAATAATATTTCACAATAATGCTGGTTTTACTGTATTTTTGGTAAAAGAAAATGCACACTTGGTGAGCACAAAAAAAACATATAAAAGTTTTATATTATTAAAAATACACATAAGATAAAAGTTGATAACTTATTCAAAATAAACATGACAAATAATATGATCAGCATTTCAATTTAAATAAAATAGATAAAAAATCTACATGAATTTCACAGTTTTTTAGCATTTGGTATGCTTTTTAAAACTCTTTATTTTCAGGTGTAAATGTAAAAAATCAATTTCTCTGAATTTTCTACTGTAACTGACGTAGTGTACGCTTTCAGGCTTTACTGTCATTACATCAGGAAGACTTCTTTTTACCCGAAGTAACCTGGAGTGCATTCAAGGTGTACTATATTTGTTCAGAACATTTGTTCTCTGAGAAACGAACCCATGAACGTCACGTCTCTAGCAGATGAGCTGCAGCTCTCAGGAGTGCAATGGGTTTCCACTGGAAACCTTATTTAGCTCCACAGCAGCCTCTCCTCTCCAGTGCAGTAGCATGGTGCAAAAGCACTCAACTTTATCGGAAAAGGTCAGGATTAATTAATGATCATTAAAAAGCTATTTGTGTTTTTGTTTTAAACAAATACACCATAATGAGGACCATAATAATCAACATGCAATGCTATTTTTTCAAATCCATTTTATATTAAAAGGCCAAAGTGCATTAGCAGACACAAAAATACACACACACACCAAAGAGGTCAATGCACACTTACCATTATCTCATCCTGAGGCACGTTGGCATAGCAACAGTAGCAAAGCAAAGACAGGGTTTAAGATAGGTAATTATAAACTGGAAATGGCAGCAGTGAGAACAGACAAGATGTACAGAACACAAAAGTAGCAGAAAGATGCTAGGACAGTTCACAGCACTAACACAAGACATACAAAAACCTAAACAGAACATGCTGTAAGACAATTCATGATATCCATGATGAATAACAACAGATATCTTGATACATATATTTAGACATTTAAAAACTACTGGAAAATGCTTAATAAAATTCAGTCTAAAACAAGGGTAGGCCTATCATGCTCTTGAAGCTTTTTTTGTTTGTATGTTTTTTTGCAAGAGTCATGCAAGTTGCAAATAAACAGATTACATATTACTTCACATATTACATATCATTTCTTATATTTTTATTAATTTAATTCAAATAGTTTTGTCCTGCTCTGCATAGTTTTAAAAGCTAAACAAAAAATGGGGCTTCTCTCTTTTTACAAGATGATTTGATTTTGACAGAAACCTCTCTATCATACATTTCTTCAGCTTCACATTTTGGATGTAGCCGTCCATGCTATACTAGAGGATATATGTATCAGATATACAGTAATTGCATGGTCAATCTAGATGTTATTTAATAACTGATTAGGAACTGAAGAGTTCATTTGCAAAAACAGATAACTCAGCTTTTTAAAAAAAATTTAAATCATGTTTTTTTTATCCTGCATTCCCATTGATATCAGTCAAACTGCAGTTGGGTTGTTTTGATTAAATAATAATAACTAAAAAAATACAGCTAACTAACACAATAAAACACATGATCTATGAAAATTAATAAAAACGGAGTTATCTTCGTGTTATTCATGTTTGCCAGTGGCTAATGAAGCACTTTTTTCAACCAAGCCCTTCCTAATTATTTCTTACTTTTTAAAGAGCATTTTACAAAACAACACCAACCACTGTTCTCAATAATTAAAATCTCATAAAATGACAGAGACTGAGTGATGCAGTGTCCAATTATAGACCTGCGTCTGCTGTTCCTACATAAGTAATGTTTGAGTGAGGCAGCAAACATCTGTCCAGGCTGTGTGAGGATGCACGCAGGACGCAGCATCTGTTCATTCTGGCTTGTGCTTACCTGATTGCCAGCAGCCTTTTTCTTATTCATCTGACTGCTTCTCTGCTGGGCACTGAAGTGATACACAGAAGGAAAAAAAAGAAGAAATATCTATAAAGAGCACAAAACGACTGAAACTTATGGATATCTAATAGCCACAAGACCATTTGGCATGAGTTTGAATTTTGGGGGTCATTGCCAAAAAAACAGATACTGACTTCTTAACATGACCTCCTAAGGGCTGGAATACACTACAGATTTAAAAAAAACTAAACATTATGCACTTGCCAACTTTGGTTTCATGCACTAAATGACTGACAATCACACACTATGGCTTTTAAGTCATTCCCAACACAACAAACTCTCACAGAAACTTGACTCACTTCTAAGAGATGAATGATAAATGAAAATAATATGTGCTCTAAAATCGGCTCAAATTATGAAACATTTCTGACATCATTCGATCGGATGGAATCAGTCTAAAGCTAAAGAACTGGAGTTGGTGTCCATCATACACGGTCAGCTCCGACTGCTGACTGACTCTGACTCTGACTCTCGGCAGCTAGCATCAAATTGTCCAGACTGCAAATCCAGGCAAAAGATCTGTACAAAAGTAGTGTAGTGTATTCCAACCTTTCAGCTAAATTGCAAAAGCTGGAAAACAGAATGGCATATGCTGGCCCACATACTAGACTATGATCAAACTCACAATAGGACAAACCAGCCTGGCTAGGCTTCACTCAAAAGTGGTGATCAGATTCAATAATAAATTCCATGGATTTGATTCTGCCAAAAGATTTATAAAGGTCGAAACTGATAGAAGATTAGAATATTAACTAAAATGTATGGCAAACAGACTTTTAAACTGCAAAATTACTGTACAGTCACATTTAAGATGTCTATTTGAATCAGTCTGTAGGTCTACTGTGCATATCTAGGGATCACAGAGGACACAATCTCTGTCTATCATCACTGCGCCTTTGAAAAAGGCTCTCATTTAATGATGGTTCTTCTGAATTGCTCTACAGAAAGCATTCATTGAACGACATTTTCAGTATTAGTTTCAGTGAGCCTGATGACCTCCTCACAGTTATGTTGGAGTGTTCTAGCTGTTTGCGTCTTTAAGTGACAAACAATAATGCTAGTAAATGGTTAACAATGTTCTTACTTTGCAAAACCGATGAAATCCTCATGATTGGTGTTCATGTATGCTAACTCGATGTCAATTAGCAACATGACCTAATGGCAGGAAAAGAACACACATGTCACTACTTATTTTTCAGTTGAAGCTGTAGCTTGGTTTTACCACATGAGTTTGTATATGTGAGGGTTAGCAGGTACCTGATTCTTGGTGCGACTCTCTCGATCTCGGATGTGCTGGGTGACAATCCTCTCCATTTCCTCTCTAAGCATGGGGTACTGAGCCAGCTGTCCCCAAAAAAAAAAACACATACTGGATCAACTACAACAGCTGAGACAATAAGCGGGGCTTATTGTTCAAGCAAGTCTTATTACTGCAGACAAATGGACAAGGGATTTCAGTGATTATCAGTTCATGAATGGAGCTCACGGAAAAACATGGATATTCACCCCCCAATTAAAATAATAAATTCTTATATGCACGAAGACAATGAAGCCTAATGTAAAAATAATCATTTAATTGCTGGAAAAGAGTTTTGCATTATTTAGCTGACAATTAACCAAATCCCCCATCCCCATTCTCATTATTACAATGTGTCTCGATTTTTTATTTATTTTTTATAAATGAAATGTATTCTGGGAAATGCAATATTTTACTATTTAAACAATGTATATTTTTGAGAACTTTTTGTGTGCCACAATTCAAACATAGAAAAAAATATTCTTTTTTTTTTAATTAATTGAATTTAATTACTTTCTTCAATTAATTAATTAAAGGGGTCATATGATGTGATTTCAAGTTTTCCTTTCTCTTTGGAGTGTTACAAGCTGATTGTGCATAGATAAGATCCCTGAAGTTGCAAAGACTAAAGTCTCAAAACCAAAGAGATATTCTTTATCAATCAAAAGACTCTGCCACGCCCCCCTAAAACGGCTCGTTCTAACACGCCCCCACATATCTACCTCACTATGTGAAAATATTTGAATAATGCCGCCCAAACGTTCATGCAAAGAAAGAAGGCGTGGTTTCAGGAACAGCAGTTAGTGTTGAAGCAGCATTAATTAAAAAATGTAAATATTTTTATTCAGGGGTTAAATGTGACCTGTACATGTTCTTGACACAGGCTAAAATGCACTCAAAGTGGCATCATATAGGGTTGATAAAATTAGCATTTTGATCAGGCTCCTATTTGTAGGTTCAGTAATATCACTTTAATTGCAATGAATAGGTTCTTTTCTTTGCCATTAAAGTGAAATAACTGAACATAAACATAGAAGCTTGAGAAAAAATTTTAGAAGAAAATTTCAGATGGCACTTAGAGGCTTTTGCATCTGAACTCTTCATATATGGAAAATTGAAACAAGAATTTGGTGTCAGTAAGATTATTTAATGTTTTTGAAAGAAGTCGCTTACCCAAGGCTGCATTTATTTGATCAGAAATAAAGTGAAACACTAATAATGTGATTACAATTTAAAACCACAATGAAACCTTTTTCCACTACTTGCATAGAATGTAATATAATCCTGTGATGTAAAAGCTCCAGTCTTCAGTGTCACATGATCCTTCAGAAATCATTCTAATACGCTGATTTGGTGCTCAAGAAACATTTCTTATTATTATTACTGTTAAAAAAAAGTTGTGCTGCTGAATAATTTTGTGGAAAACATGATTCCAAAATGTTTCTAATGTGTCCTGTTTCTAAAGAACAGCATTTATTAAAAATAGAAGTATTTTGTGACATTCTGATCAAATGAATGCTTTCTTGCAGAATAAAAGTATAAATAAATTTTAAAAAGTACTGACCCCAAACCTTTGAATTGTAGTGTATGTGAAGCTGTGGGGTTTTACCTTCTTGGTGCACTGCCTGACTGTATTGACCAGCTCAGTGATGACAAGGTCCACACATTTCTGACATGGCTCTTTGATCTTTGCAATCTGCCGTTTAACAATAGTCTCGAAGGCCATGTCTGGAGTAAACAGACCGGTTCTGACAAGTGAAAGGGATGAACAGAGCAGTCAGAGATCTAAATGATGTGCTTTACAGTTGTTTGTCATTGCAATTCATATTTCATGGCATGGTTCTCATTGTACAGTACTTTAAATCTAGCACGCAGTAGCTCAGAATGTCACAGTAACATCAAAGCGAGTTTGATCTCAGAGCAGGAGAGCTGTTGAATGTGTGTGACTGTGTGTGTCTGGGGTAGAGGCAGATGCACACCTGATACCGTGGATGTTCTTGATGGCGTAACTGATCTCCTTACGCAGCTCTTTCTCATCAAACTCCATCTAGTCATCATTAGCAGACACAGAAACACCTACTTGATGTAATTTGAGAGGATATACTGTAATTTTGCTCTTTATGATGAAATTACCTTAACCAGCTCAAAGGGGAAGCGCTCGTGAAAGATGCGATTGATCCTCGCACCTCCAGACAGCTCCACTGTGTCCACCTGATCTCCTGAACCCTCAATGCACTTCTCAAAATCCACCGCAAACTGCTGCACCATCCTTTAAACCAGAGAACAGTGTTTTATGTGCGAGTCACAGATTCAACCCTTCAGACAGAAACACACACACATGTATAATGATAAACTACTGTTCAAACATTTGGGGTCAGTAAGATTTTTTATGTTTTTTAAAGAAGCCTCTTATGCTCAGAAATATTATTACACTATTATTATGATTTAAAATAACTCTTTTCTTAGGCTCTAGCTCCCCTCGTGACCCTGCAAAGGGTTTTTAATATACTTTAAAATGTACTTTTTAAAGTACATTAAATGTTCTCACACACGTTTGATATCCTTTAAAATGCAATTTATTCCTCTGAAGGCAATTCTGAATTTTGCTCAGTTTCAGGGTTCAAGAATTCTTTTATTATTTTTTCAGGATTCTTTGATGAAAAGAAAGTTTGAGAGAACATCATTTACTTAAAATAGAATTCTTTTGTAACATCATAAATGTCTTGTCACTGATCAATTTAATGAATCCTTGCTGAATAAAAATATTCATTTCTTTTGACACCACCAACAACAAATCTTTAAAAATCTGACTCCAAACTTATGTGCATGGGCTGTAAGCGTTCAAATGTGCAATACATATCAGACTCACTGTAGCAGAGCCTTGGTTTTGCGAGAAGGATCATCAGGGCGGAAGTGCTTGTACTCCTCCACCTCTTTCTCAATGGACAGTAGCTGGCTCTGAAGTTTGTTCCTCAGTCCTGGCAGAGTGTCTCGGATGTGGTTAGTTAATTGCTAAATGAGAACAGAAACCCTTGGTTACTAGTCAGAATCTCTCTTACAGTAAACATGATTTGTGTTTGTTTATAAATAACAATATACGTAAGGCTATATTCTTCTTTATCAAAATGGCAGTGGGGTATATAAAAAAACATGCAGAAAAACAATTGCATGAGTGACTCTCGCTGTCATTCAACCTGGTTAAGAACTTTCTGTAGGTACGGAGTCCCCATGCGATCGGCCAGGTGACGGTAGGCTGGATGGGTGAGGAAGAACTTCCTCTCCGCTGCTATTGCAGCAGTGATGTCCTTCTTGCCATCAATGTCCTTCTGACTGCGGTTCACAACCCCAATGTAGCCTACAGGGAGCATCCAGTTTGACATTGTTACAAACAATCAGCATGACCAGACGTAGTACACTGGACATAGTCAACAAATAACTTCGAACCCATTATCTTTCAGAAAATGTAGAAGTATAGCTGTTAAATTACTTTCACAAGGTGGACTATCCCACATTTTGATTAAATAAGCTCTTAAATGTAAAGTTATGAGGAAATAAATGGGAACATATATTAGTAACTGCATTTGGAGAGTAAATGGTAAAATTAAGTGTAATTGTATGTGTTTTTCAGTGAAGAGAAAGACGTGTTGGCGTTTAATGTTCAGTTATGATGGAGTTCGGTTATTATGGATGGCTACATGATGACCATGATATGTGTTGCATCAGTTAATGAGCAATAACAGCATTAATGCCAGTACTGAGACCAATCTCTTCCTACCTGCTCATCTGATGTTGCATATAGTAACAATAAATGTAATTTTCTTTAGCACACTATTGCTTGTTATTGTCTAAAATAATAACATAACTTAAATCCAGCAAGTCATTTGTTTAAAAGAACTTGTTTTAGTCTTGTATATGTATAGAAAAGTTTTCCTTAAAGGAGACATATTATGCCCCTTTTTACAATATATAATATAAGTCTCTGGTGTCCCCAGAATGTGTCTGTGAAGTTTCAACTCAAAATACTCCACAGATCATTTATTATATCATTTTGAAAATGCCTATTTTGAGTGGAAGCAGAAGCATGCTGTTTTTCGCGCCTGTCTCTTTAAATGCAAATGAGCCGCTGCTCCCCGCCACCTTTTCCAGAATAGAGCTGCGCCTTTACAGCTCGTATCTGCTAAAAACATCTGTTTTGGTTCTGATTATCATGCTTATCGCGCTGAAATCATGCATTTTAAACCATGAGTTTAAACTTCTGATATATGGTTTTCTGAGTGCACATGGACAGAAAGCGGCTGTCACAGCATGTGAATACTAAACTAAGTTCTCATTCACACACAAGTTTACGTTAAAAACACACGAGTTACAAAAAAGCACTTAAAACCTGGAAAAGTCAGATTTTCATGATATGTCACCTTTAATTTAAATAAGTTCATTGAATAAACTAGTCTAATTTTAACAGGAAGTGTGTTATCTAGTAAGGAACTGGGTAAATTGAATATGCTATGTGACAAGTAATCAATAATGTTATAACAATGTTCTCTGCTGGTGGAACGACCTGCCCAACTCGATCCAAGCAGCTGAGTCTTTAGCCATCTTCAAGAAATGGCTAAAGATACGTCTCTTCCATCTACACTTGACCCTCTAACACTAGCACTTTCTATTCTATTTCTATTCTATTTCCATATTTTTATTTTATTTATTATAAAAAACTTGACCCTCTAACATTAGCACTTTCTATTCTATTTCTATTCTATCTACTTTTTTCTTTTTCTTTTTTATTAAAAAACCTTGCTACGTGTACTGCATTAGACTAATCGGGATTGTCACAGCACTTGTATATTGTTTCTCTTTTGTTGGTTTGATTGCTCCTATTGTCCTCTTTTGTAAGTTGTTTTGGATAAAAGCTTCTGCTAAATGATTAAAAGTAAATGTAAATGTAATGTGAATAATAGGGGAGAAAGGTCATCTATAAGTGCAGAAAGAATAGCAGCTGCTAAAATGCACTGGCAGACTTAGACTTAATAGAGCATCAAAGGCTTCAAAAGCAAAAATGTCCTCTACAGAAGATTTCTCCCTGAAGTGTGTTGCAGGTTTAATAGCCATTTTTTGCTCTCCTGGATCTTTTGAAGTGTTTTTGTGTCTAAGTGCCCTTATAGACAAATACATATATAAATAAATGCCTGACCTCTTTATACATTTTGCATTTGGCTTTCAAGAGACCAGACACATTTATTTACCATTCAGTGGTGAATAAATATGATTTATCATCAGTAATCAGAATTGGTCAAACTGTCCCCCCAAATATTTGATATGCTTGATGCTGCTCTGCTGTACTCCATTATACATTGCTCTGTATGTTATTAGGATGGTGCAAAATAAGCTGTAAGCAGTTACACATTAAATATTTATCTACGGTTTATAACAGAAATGTTAAATGATTGACAGTAACACAAAAAAATACTAATTTTGTCAAATTATGCCATTTTAAATGTAAAATAAATAATTTGTGTGATTCAAGTAATTCAGTTTGTATTTGAATGTGACAAGACAAGAAACATTAACTTAGTCGTTTTCAGCATATTAGGCATAAGAGTGACTATGTGGATACTGTGAATATATTTAATGAACACAGTTTCCTGGAATCCTTTCAGTAAAATAAAAATATTATGTGCAAATAGTTAAAATAGTAAACAGTAAATATAAATTCTTGTTCTTTTACTATTTTTCTTTCTTTTTTCATATTTTATTTTCCCTTAAAGCCCTTTTAAATCATGTAATTATTTAATTCCTTTAAATAAAAATGACCAGTACATTGGTGACAGACATATTTAACCATTTAACCAACTGAATATTTTAAAGCATAAATTAAAAAATAAAAATAACAGTATCTTCACTCATTCAGGCCTGGGAATCACTGTTCATTGTTATTTACAAATTGTCCATGACCACCCACTATTTATGTGGAAAGTGTATGAATGCTTTCTCTTTGCACACGGATTTTACCTCTACGTAAAGGAAGAAGCTTGTTCTCCAGGATGTCACGTGCATCGGTTCCTTCATCCATTAGATCCAATTTAGTGATCACACCTATAGTTCTCAAACCTACTCAGAAACACACAAACATTGATGCATGATCAAATACAATTTTACAATGAAAAGAGCTTTACAAATCTCACATCAAGGTAAGCCTGCAAGTATGCAAATATTTTAGAACATTTTTAGTCATTGCTGGATGATGACCCACCCTGAGGGTCCACCTCCTTGGCAATCTTGAGGGCATCTGAATTGGCCAGGTCAGAGTTGGCCGGAGACACAGCCAGCAACAAGCAGTTCACCTTAGTCACAAACTGCATTAGCATATCCCTGATCTGAGACTCAATGTCATGCGGCTGGTCCCCTACCGGCACTTTGGTCATACCAGGCAAGTCCACAAGGGTGAGATTCAAAACTGGCGATGAAAACAAGGGGTGACAGGATCATATGTCATATTTCCCAATGCATGGTTATATGTAACAGAATATTTAGATATGATCATGGTTAAATGTCTGTATGTGCATGAATGTAAGTACCATGAGACGAATAGACGCGCAGATTGATAGGGACCGGTGAAATGCCTTTGTTTTGGCCAGTGATGCGATCTGTCTCTGCCTCAATTTCCTGACGAACCTCATCAAAATCTGTAAACTTCTTCCCTTTGCAATGCAAAAACTCAGCATATTCTGGAAATAAGCAATCAGAAATTTTAACAAAACTGCTTTTTAGTTTTGCCTTAAAGGAGCACTTCACCCAAAAAAATGAAAATGTATCACCTTGTTTCTTCACCAGAAGAGATTTGGAGAAATTTAGCATTAAATCACTTGCTCACCAATGGACCCTCTGCAGTGAATGGGTGCCGTCAGAATTAGAGTCCAAACAGCTGATAAAAACATCACAATAATCCTCAAGACTCCAGTCCATTAATTCACATCTTGTGAAGTGAATAACTGAGTGTATGTGAGAAACAAATCCATAATTAAGACGTTTTTAACTTCAAACGAGCCCTCTATGGAAAAAATGGCTTTCTTCAGTGAAGAAGTCATCTCATCTAAATCAGGAGAGAAATATGCACAGATCAAGCACTGTTTACAAGTGAAAAAAGTCCAAAACACTTCTAAACATATTTTGGTGGATTTTGATGTGAGAGGACAACAAGCAATGGACTTAATCACTGGAGGAAGTGTTATTATGGATTATGGCTTCGTATTTTGGCTACAAGTGATGATTTTAATGTTAAAAATGATGCCTTTAATGATGGATTTGTTTATTACAAACAGGCAGTTTTTCACTTTACAAGACATTAATTGATGGACTGGAATCGTGTGGATTACTTGTGGAAAATTGTGATGTTTTTATCAGCTGTTTGGACTCTCATTCTGACGGTTTTCCAACGCCACTCATATAATGCAGAAACACTCATGAAGCAATCAAAACACGCGCAACGCGCACATGTATTTATACTGGTGCAGAATGAGAGGTACAAGTACTGTACAGCCTAGCGCATTTCACACAGGCTGTTAGTGTCACTTTCGCCAGAAAGTCGTGTATGCTTCAGGGTGAAAATAAATGACGTTTATAGTGAATGCCCCTATAAATTGTCCTATATTTGCGATTTAGTTTTAATCCAAATGATGCGTGCTAAGTAGGGATGTAACGATTAACTGCGAGCCGGTTGAAAATCGATTCAAATATGTGACGATTCAAATCGGTTGAGATGCTAAACAAATCGCGATTCATTTAGGGGTAGGAGTTTATATGAATGTATGTCTGAGGGGAACTTACTGTCTTTAGAAAAGCTCTCTCTCTCTCTCTCTCTCCCTCCCTCCCTACCATTAAGTATAATGTACATTATACTTGGACAATATATTGCTTGGACAAAATGCTGCACATTTCTTTGTGAAATTGAAATATAATACTATAATAATATACTAATATAGCACTTGCATATTACTGCTCTTTTGTTGGTTTTGATTGCTTCTGTTGTCCTATATTGACTCTACCGTGCGACTCCACCGGGCAGGACACCGGCAAAGGACATAAGTATCGACCTCTTTCCACTTCTGTTTCAGTTTTTTATAAACTATTTCTTACTATGTGTCAGTAAGTTGTTGTTATTTTAGCATGTGTTAGATAGGTGTCGTATTCCTATAGGTAGATGGGGATCAGCTGAGAGTCAGCTGATGCGAGCTTGACTAACGTGACCTGCCAGAACTAATGTTATGCTTGATTTCTCCAAAACGTTTCTGGTGAAGAAACAAACTCATCTATAATTTGGATGGCCTGAGTAAATTTTCTACAAATTATAATTTCTGAGTGACCTATTCCTTAAAAACATGCCTTTAAAAACTACAGCGCTTTTTGTCTTTCTTCTAATGCAAGCAAGATATTTACCAGTAGGGCAGTTGATGAGCTGCAGCACTAGGGGGCGCCGAGTGACAATACCAGAGCCACGAGGCAGAAAATCCCTAAAAGGAAAAAGAGGCAGCATTCATTGAGTCACTTTGTTTTTATATGCAAAGAATATCAAAGTGAATTTCTAACATACAAATATTACATAAAGAGATGTACATTTTCTTTTTAAAAATCCGAAGAATAAATCAGTGCAAAGCAATGCAAAAAATATAAATACTTTTATAAAGTCATGCTGCTATGTTTTAAACTGCTTTTACAAGTCAATGAAAGTTAATACATTTAATTACCGTGAATAACAACTCTTCTTTTTTTAATCTAACGATGACTCTCAGTGTATATTCACACTAAAACAGCTCATCCTGAAAAACAGATGTACTGACTTAATTAAAAACATGTCAGTGCTAGTGCTGCTCTGGCAATTTACTGCATAACTCAGCTTTGTACTTGTTCTAGATATTAGTAGCACTAGTTAAATTTTTCATATATGTCTGTTGCCAGTATATTCGTAACTAGGCCTCTCTTAGTTATGAGATTTGGAGATAGGGTTGAAGAGAGAGCTCTCTAAGGAGTGTGAGAGAGTGCTGTGAGTTCTGGCCATTAGGCAGAAGTGCTTTCAACATTAGTGGATATGTTTAGAAAGAAGAAAAACATGTAATTGCATTTCACCACTGACCACCTTTATGGATTTCAAAGACTGGGTGTTTAAAATAGCCTCTACACAATCTAATCTCTATTTGTAGGTAGCTAATGTAATTTACGTTATTTTTACAGTGCAATTATGTAATTCATATTGACTGTGTTAACATAATAAAGTAATTATGATGGTTATATACAGGTATCTTATCATAATAGGTTCTCGAATGATCTCTTATCATCCTCATTGAAGTGCTGTAATGTGCAGAACAATAATTGATTAGGATGTTTGTATAATAAATATAGGGCAAGAGACTTTTTATTTTAGGACTGCTGTGAATTACGTTCACTAGTTGTCAGTCTCAAAACACAGTCCATATTTTGTAGGATATAAGGAAACCTAAATATATGTAGTGGTAGAAATTAGGTAGGAATTAGAAAAATACTGAGAAAATACTTCTTACAGTTAGTTTTTCATAGAAGAGCAGCAAAAATCTAGTCATTGTTCATTATTTGTCAGAGTAACTGTAGCTTCCTGCGGAGTTCCTTTTAGTTTTATGGCACGCTACAGACCAACATTAACAGTGCATACTGCCACCTACGATACTGGAGTGTGTAAAATCATGGCTTCATTGATCTCATCTGAAATTCTTCTAATAAGACCAGTTTCATGCAAAAAAATTATTAATGCCTTAACATTTGATGATGCACTGCTTAAGTTTTTTCCTTTCTTCAGTTTAACAGAACAAGCTCTACACTTTCTTTGCATTTACAAACCTCACATTTATCTGTGTTCACTTTGTTCATAAGAAATAATTTATTATTAAGTCTTGTGTGTCCTAATCGTAGTATTGACTAACTGATTTTCTCCAATATAGAAGGCTCATATTCCATATTAAAGATAGACTTTGATTTGATTGATTTTACAAACCTCCTGATAAAAAAATTACTGAAAAGAAAGAAATTAGTCAAATATTTTTATAATAACAGTATCATATGATGTACAGAAATAAGCTGCCTGCATGTTAACAAGCAAACAATAGTTTTTATTTGAAATTGTTTTTTAATGACTTTGTAAAAACCTTTTAAGACAGATCTTCTGTGAGCTTTGAAGTTATTAAATAAAAATTATGTCACACGCTTCTGTTTAAACTGTCAGTCAGCATAATTTCAACTATAATAGCCACATTTCAAATGAAGAACTACACTTCACATTATTCTTAAAGAGAACAATCCACAGCAAATCAGTCAGGAAGAGAAAAGCAGTTCAGCATCAACCACCCACTCCAATGAAGCACTGTGAATGATGTAATCAAGCTGGTAATTAAATAAACAAGTCACTCTCTCATACTATATATATGTAAATGTGTGTTTTTGAAAGCAGTCTATTATTTGATCAAAAATATACCAAAACATTGTGAAATTATATTTATTACAATTTACAATAACTGTTTAATTTTAATATATTTTAAAATGTAATTTATTCCTGTGATAAATTGAAAATAAAATGTCAGACATTAGGGTTGGGCCAACAGACGATGCCATCGTCCATCGCCGATGGCTGATAGACATCACGATGTTGAGCTGACATCATGATCCCCCCCCATACCCCCCGCAATCCGCTGCATCCCAATACCATGTTCGGAAAGAAAATGACGTGTGTACGGAACCCGTAAAGGGAATACAGTATCTCACAGAAGTGAGTACAGCCCTCACATTTTTGTAAAACTAGTCGCATACAAAACTTTCGTTTAAACGTCAGTCAAATTAGTCGTCTCGCACATCCCTAACTGTGACATACTGAAGCAGAGCATGATCCCCTCCCTTCGGAAATTGGGTAATTATACTGTATATAAATTGTGGGCATCAGGCAGCCACTATTATGGCTGGCATTGAAACTGCTTTTGAATGCACGATCGCTTTTTAGTTTCACTTTCACTTTTGAGATTCGCGATTGCACGTACTCTGTTTATACTATGGAGCGGAAGTACTTACTACACATTTTACAAGATTAGACTTTTGTCAGTGGTGCTGAGGATCTGCAAATCATTCGCCATCGTCCTCAGTCATCTCTCCTTACTCTGTTTATGTGGTAAGTGATATTTTATGTACTGTAATGTAACAGGCAACCGTTAGCAATCGTTTTCTGAATACGGATTCACGCTTCCAGAATAGGTAAGAACTGACATTGCAGAGTTTGGGGGTTGATAATATTTTTCAAGGAACAGAACTCTTTATATATTTATATAATTATTTATTTAAATCTCTATTGAGAAAGTGAATAGAAAAAAATATATATATATTTTAGGAACCATGACCGCTGCAAAAAAGAAAAAAAGGTGGCCACTGCTGAGCTCTATTTAAAAACAAAGCAGCATAAAAACCAAACTTTCACAAGCACCCATGACAAGCTTAATGCTGCACTTCTCATTTATTGACACACATAAACACAGTGTCTTATCTGCTCTTGCAGACAGTTTAATGACATTCATACAGCAGCTGTGATATCCTGCTGCTTTCCGCCGGACTGCACCATCACATAATTAATTGTCACGTCATCATGCTAGGCCACATCAGCATGTGCCTCCGTTTTAAAGGCCATGTCTCATTCATAATGACATCTGTCTGATAAATTGCACCATAAGTGTCAGTGTGAATGAGTTCATGTTCGTTCAACTCATACATAAGTCCAAAGAACAGTTTTATCTACGTGGAAATGAATCAAGCATGAAAGAAACATAAGCTAAGATATTTTAAAGAATGTTTTAACTGTTTTTGTCCATACAGTGGGTTTCAAAACAAAACTGAACCTAAATAAATAAATAAAAATAAGGCCATTTTCTTTCTTTCTTCAGAAATGAAAGAAAATGAAATCCTTTCTCATCAAAACGACATCCGTTTTTCTAAACCTCTTCCAAAAAAGATTTTCTTTCTTCTGCTGAACACAAAAGAAGATATTTTAAAGAATGTTGGTAACCAAATACACGGCACCTTTATTTTTAAGAGTGTAGTTTCTGGTCCCCATCAACTTCCATAGAAATTGTTTTTCCTTACTATGGAAGTTAGTGTGGGGACCAATTGACTGGTTACCCCCACATTCTTCAAAATATCTTCTATGTTTAACAGAAGAAAGAACTCTTGAAAACAACTTGATGGTGTCTACATGATGACAGAAGTTTCATTTTTGGGAGAACTATGGCTTTAAATCATTTACCAATCCTCATGTTGCGTCTAAACCTTCAAAATATCTTCCAAAAAATAATTTACAAGGTAAACGACAATTAACTAATTATTAAATGACAATTCTGTCATCAATCAAATGATTTTCCGATGAACGGTCCCTTTAAGGGCCACATATACAGTAGTATTGCAGTTGTGAAAACTGTAAATCTAGCCAAGCAGCACACCACATTTCAAGCCAAACAGCTGTCCTCGTACAGCATTGTGAAGTCTGTCCTTGTAACAGCTGTGAGCATTGTACTGCCAGTCAGTGGATCTGTTTGTGGCTGACAAGCTTGACAGACTCTTTAGTGTCCACAGAGCTCACAGTGTAGCGTGACCAATAACACTGAGTGAAGGCCCTGCTGAATAACAATGAAGGTCTACGAGGCAGTGAAGAACGTCACAACGTTACGCGCTAGACTTAATAGCAACCTGCAAATGATGGGGATCTACGCATATTTTGACTCAAACACCCCTCTGTGTTGCAAATCCCTTTGACACATAAAACAAACATCCCTGATGGAAATACAAGCTTAAACCAGCCTAAAGTGTTTTGCTGGTCTTATCTGGTCTCTCCACAAGTGTTCAGCTGATCTGCTAGCCTGAGCAAGTGCCTAAAGCTATCAAACCACACCAGACTGAAGAGTTTGATGGCCAGCTAAGATTAGCAAAACATATTAGGCTGGCTTTCTTAACCAGAGATCTTAACAGAGATCTAATGAGATAATTAGATTTGAATTTCCTGAAACAAATAACAGCACTTGCACAGAGGGCAAGTGTTAAGCATCAGAGACGCTTTGTTGTTGTCATGACACTTAGAATAATAGCCTACATGTTATTTTCTATCAGCTGTGCAATTCGCCATGAAATAAATCCAAGAAAATATGCATACAATGACACAATCACTCGTATTATGAAATGTGAACATTCTAACAATGCCAAGTCAATGAGAGATTTTCTAACCTTAATCTTAAAATTATTTTAAGTGGGAAACTTTAGAAGTTATCTAAAGAAGTTTAAATGGAGCTGAATTAATTGCTTACTGTACAATTTTTCTCATGTACTCACTATATATAATTTATTTATTTAAAGATCAGTGTCTCTTACAATTAATACTTGGTTCATATAATGTTAACCAAATCAAAACAGTGCCACCTTCACAGATTTTGAAAGAACTGTCCTTGGTCCTGAACACAAGCAAAGCTCAACTGGCTGTGAGCCAAACACAAAATAATGATGCTGTTAAAATATAAAGGATGTTAATTAGTAAACCTGGGGCAGATATAGGCCTATATTGGATAAAACATGTGCAATAAAATAGCAAACTCACTGAGGAATGAAGTAATGGCTGCTGAAAATTCAGCTTTACCATTACAGAAATAAATAAATTAAAAAGAAAATAGTTATTTTCAGTTTAATAATATTTCACAGTATTGCTGTTTTTAATGCATTTGTGATCAAATAAATGTAATCTTAGCTAACATATGACACTTCTTTCAAAAACATTTAGAATCTTAACTAATTCAAACTTTTGAATGGTAGTGCACACATCCACAGCAGAATTAACTTGTGTACCACCAACATTACTCTTAGTTATAACAAAAATGGAATGGAATTAAATTTTAGTTTAAGCAAGAGCTGATCTGTCTCAGAGAGTCATATAAATGAACAGATATAACACATACAATACACATTTTGCCATCATTTATTGAGCTGAATGTTGTTCCAAGCCTGTATGACTTCCTTCCATGGACCACAAAAGGCAAAATGACAGTCTCAGTCAACATTCACTTTCATTGCATGGACAAAAGATGCAATCAAATACGAGTTTGGAACAACATGACGGTGAGTAAATGATGACAGAATTTTCATTTTGGGTGACCTAATCATTTAAGGATCAAATCGTCCCAATAATATTGGTTTCAACTTATTCACAAAATTCCATTAGCATTCCTTCAGGATTTTGACTAGAGTGAACAGAAAACGAACAGCAGGGAAGAAAACAGGCCTATGGCTCACATATGACCCTCTGACACCAGATACAAGCAACCACTGAACATTAAACCCTTGACTTAGATCTTTTTTTTATATCAGCAGCCTCTAAATGCCTTTATACCTTTTATATACAAAACCCTGAAAACAGTCTAATCAATGGAAGCATAACATCATTATCTGAAGCATAGGTGATTAGCTGTTTTTCTAGCTTGTAAATTAAAAATATATGACACAATATATCACATAAAAAACATTTTTCTTCCTAATACATAAAGCTCGCTCGCGCACATGATGCCCAAAAATGCTGGTGTAGGTGGGCAGCTCGCTAGTATGACGGCCTTGCAAGGACACACACACACACACACACACACACACACGTCAGCCATGAGCATCATTCTCTGTCAATCTTCTTCACGAGGCTGCTGCTGCTGTCTAAAGCAAATGTACAGCATGTCGAGAGACCGAGGCAAGCTTCGTGGGCTGCTTGTCCCGCATTAAGTAAATCATGGTAAAACAGCTTTATTTTGTCAGTTAAGGGACAATGCATAACAAATGCACCTGATTTATAAGCGTAACCGGCTTGAAAACAGAGCTGATTTATAAGCGTAACCGGCTTGAAAACAGAGCTGATTTATAAGCGTAACCGGCTTGAAAACAGAGCAGCTCTTCACTGCCATGAATAACTAACTCGATATCATGATAAATAAACATTGGTTTTGGTACGCATGCATTATAAGTAATTACTGAATATGATTGTGTCAGGTGCAGAAAGGCAAATTAATGATACAGAAACACTGGATGCATGTAGAGTGATGCTGCCCATCAATTTGTCATCAGTCACTTACTTCCCAACGAAGTTCTCCAAAACCGAGCTTTTCCCAGCACTTTGGCCGCCGACCACTGCGATCTGAGGAAGGTCCAGGTTGGCATTTTGTCCGATGGCAGAGAAGGCGTCCTGCAGTCTGTTTACCAGAGGAATCAAGTCATCCATTCCCCGATTGCCCATCTTGTGGGATAAATAACAGGCTCTATTTCACAGTGAATGAAAAACCGATGTAATCGACCCTGAACGGAGCCCTAATTGGCAAGCCCCGAAATATCTAAAAGCTGTCCCTTGCAGCGTTTCCTTCAATTTTCCAGGCACCTTGGCGAATCGACATACGTCCTCCTCCCTAGGCGCTGCTCCCTGCCTGTTCACCACCGCTATGAGATCTGCTGCTGCTGGAGCGACGCGGAGATGAAGCGCTGGATGCTGCATTACCTTCACCAGCCACTGGGTGCGCAAGACATAATCAAACGACCGTGCTTTATTCCAATATTTGTGATGTATAAAACAAATCAAACCTAAGCAGCACTAAAATAAAACACCATAAGGCATAAAGATGTTTAGTTCATATTCCTAAAACTCGGAGGAAAATTTGCATTTTCAATCCATGATATGGGTTTGTCTTACAAAAGCGTTTTTGGATTTTAAGAGTAAAATAATTTTTATAGCTAGTTAACATCAAACATTCATACATCATACATCAAACATGAATTTGACGAACTGGAACCGTTTTTCTCTGCTAATACTGGGAACATTAAAAACTTTGACCAACGTTCTTGTTAGGGTCTCTCAAAAAGTTCTGAACAAACATTCTTCTAGAACGTTCATTCAAAGTTATCTGGTCTTTAACAACGTTCTCAAAACGCTAGCACAAAAGCATTATTTCTACATAATTTATGAAGAAAAAAATTTAGTTGGACGTTTGTCTGGTTTAGAGAACATTCCAAAGCAATTCCTATAATTTTTGCAAAATAATGAAATTGAACTTTCCATTTAATGTTATGTTCGACATTCATATAACCAAGAAAATCCCCCTTTTTGAAACATTTAAAACCTTTTTGAATGTTCAGAGGAAATTCAGAAATAACGTTTTCATGACTTAATGGGAATGTTAGCAAAGCGTGCTTAGCACATATTTTTGTTAGATGGATAGTACTTACAATGTAGCTACTAATAAATAGTGTTAAATAAATAAGATCTATCTAATGAATTAGTAGTATTAAAAAAAAAAAAAAAGTAGTACCGAATTGGACAGCTGTTTTAGTCCTTATGTAGCTTGTAACTTGTTACAAAACCTTAGCAGGTTTTAAGGAAATAAATGTTAAAACGACTTACCTTACATGTTGGAGTTTATTGTGATAGTGCTGACTGTGTGTTATCCCTGACTTAATTGTCTGTGTTGAACTTTAATGCAAAGGTTTTCAGTACACATACAATAATTTGTAATTTTGTATTTTTGCAAAAAGCCATTTTCCTGATAATGTAATGCTTCTTCCGAGCCGAGTGAGGGCGCACTATAGTTAATTGTCCGTAACCTCCACACCACAGCCCCAGAGGAAGAGGAAGATGCATCTACCATAAACACTGTTGGAGTGAGGCTTGTTTTCATATCAAATGGTGAGCTGTTTCGTACATTTCAATAATGTTGTTTTAAACACATATAAGGTGTGCAGTATATGCTGTACATTGCAGGTTTTTGCCACTTGCTGTCCATAAAGCTTTGTCATAATATCCTGCACACCGCTCTTTTCAAGTGTAACACCTTTGAGCTCTGTAACGTTAAATTAATAACTGACAGTGACAGAACAAAAAACACAGATAATAAAAAAATTCAAAAAATAGAACAAGTAAATAAGGAATAAAAATATATAAATTGACAATTGTATGTGCAGGTATATTACAATAGACAGTTTTGTATGTACAGGTACTGTATATTTACTTTTTACTTTTACTTTTAGTCATTTAGCAGACGCTTTTATCCAAAGCGACTTACAAATAAGAAAAAGTAATTATTGTTGATTGGAAATTCTTAATTATTGCCCTCATGGTGTAAATGGTGATTTTCAATGCTTTAGCTATTTTCTTACAGCCACTTTCTAATTAGTGAAGCTTAACAATCTTTTGCTGCACATCAGAACTATATTCTTTGGTTTTTCTCATTTCTAATGTTTTATATGCAGATTAAATAGGTAAGTAAATAGGCTTAAGGAAACTTTTGTCTAGTCTCCCGAGACCACAGGAGGGCGCAATGAGCAAAATAATGCAGCACATTTAAATTGTCAACGCAAGGAAATA